AATGGGGGATTTTAATACCTGTCTGTTGAAAAATGATACTCGTAGTGAGAAACTTCAGTTCGTTACTTCTTCCTCAAACTTATCTATCTTACCCTCTCTGCCTACTCATCATCTTCCTACCTCACATTCTCTTCTTGATCTTATTATTACATCCTGTCCAGACGGAATACTTACACATGGTCAGCTACCTGCCTTCCAATTCTCCAACCATGATTTAATCTATTGTGCTCTGCGGGTGCAGCATCTGAGTCGTTCTCGGCGTGTTGTGACTTACCGTGATCTAGGGCGAGTTGAAACTAATTTGCTCTTGTCAGATGCACTGATGATTGATTGGCTTCCACTGTATCGTTTAACAGATATTGATGCTAAAGTGGACTACTTTAATTCCAAAATCATTAATCTCTATGATAAACATGCCCCACTTAGGCAACGCAGGATGAGGCACCCGCCTGCACCTTGGCTGAGTGATGAGATAAGATCTCTTATGCGACTGCGTAACCGTGCAAAGTCCGTAGTTAAACGTACACCCTCTAGTGCTAATCGGGAAAATTATCGAATTTTACGCAACCGCTGTAATCATAAATGCAAGTATGCTAAGAGATCTTATTTCTACCAGAGGCTGTCTGGAGTCGCGCCCAGAACATTTTGGAGGACTATGAGGTCTCTCGGAGTGATTGATTCTCCGTCTGTCCAGATGGATCTTGATTGTGAGTCGATGGCAAACTTTTTTGCAGAGCCTCCCCTGATCATCGATGACGTAACTAAGGCGGCTACAATTAATGAAATTCTTACTTCTCTTAAATCTTGCTCCTTCTCTCTTACGCTTGTGACCGCGATCGAAGTAGGCGATGCTTTGACTTATTCGAAGTCCCCTTGCGTGGGTTCTGATGGTATCGGTCTCAACCTTCTTCTTCCTATCCTGGATATAGTGCTTCCTCCCTTAACTCATATCTTCAACTTTTCTTTTGAGCGGTCTTTATTTCCCTCTGTCTGGAAGGTTGCTCATGTCGTTCCCATACCCAAATCCAAGTCCTCTTCATGTAACACTGATTTCCGTCCGATTTCAATTTTATCCGTACTATCAAAAGCTCTTGAACGCTTAGTTTATTTACAAGTCCAAGGATTTCTAGAGAGGTTTAATTTACACAATGAGTTGCAATCGGGTTTTCGCAGTGGGCATAGTACAACTACTGCTCTCATTAAAGTTACTGATGATATTAGGTATGCCTGCGACAACAGATGTGTTACTGTGCTGGTACTGCTCGATTTCAGCAAGGCTTTTGATTCTGTCGACCACAGCCTTCTTTTAGCGTCTCTTTCTGCCTACGGATTCACTCCCCCCTGTGTTTCTTGGTTTCAATCCTACCTTTCCCATCGCTCCTTGTGCGTACGCGCTAACTCTTCAATTTCTTCTGCTTGTGCAATCAAATGTGGTGTTCCTCAGGGCAGTGTATTGGGTCCGTTACTTTTTTCTTTGTTCGTTAATAGTGTTACTAATTATATCTCGTGTAATTATCATTTGTATGCCGACGACCTGCAGATATATACTACTACTACTGTTGCTGAATTTCCGGCAGCTATTGTGCGACTTAATAACGATCTATCTAACGTCTTGAACTGGTCTCGGAGATACGGACTTAAGTTGAACTCAGTTAAAACGCAAGCTATTGTGTTTGGAACTCGTCAATTACTTGGTAAGATTAATCCATCTGCCTGCAGTGATCTGATGCTGGATGGTAATGTCATACGGTTTTCTAACACAGTTAAAAATCTTGGAGTCCTTATGGATTCTGCACTGTCTTGGAAACCGCAAATTCAACATGTTTGCAGAAAAGTCTATGCTTGCTTCCACTCTTTAAAAAGACTTCGCTGCTCTCTTCCTCCTGTGGTGCGTCGTAATCTTTGTTACTCTCTTATATTTCCTCACTTCGACTATGCGGACGCGGTTTATCCCGATCTCTCGGTGACTCTTCTGAGTAAATTGCAGCGGCTACAAAATAATTGTATCCGGTTCATATTTGACCTAAATAGATTTGAGCATGTAACGCCGTATCGCAATTACATTCAGATGTTAACCTGTGAGAGACGTAGATCCTTTCGTTTATTAACCATTTTATTTAAAATCCTTCATAACTGCACCCCAAAGTACTTATCAGATAGGTTCCAGCAATTATCAACTCATGAGCTTGCTACTCGTTCACGTTCTGATACTATTCTTACATTTCCCGTTCATAGCACTGAAATTTATCATAGATCATTTACAGTACAGTCGATTGCGCTGTGGAATGGACTGCCTTCTGAAATTCGTAATATTTCTAGAATTACTAATTTTAGACATGTTTTAAAGAGCCACTTGCTTGCCCTTCAACTGGCTGTTTCCTGATTCTTTGTTCTTTGTCTTTCTCTTTTTTTCCTCTCTTCAACTGCTCTCACTTGTTGGCAACTGATATCCGGCAGATTCTTTTAGTTTCTTTTAGTCGCTCTCTATCTCTCTTTTTGTGTCTTTTCTTTATTTTTCTCTTTGTTTTTCTTTTCTTGCTTAATCTTATTTGGTGATGTTAATAATATCTAAGTATCACTACTTGCCATATTCAGCAAATACTATTTTTATTTTTGTTTGTTCTGTTGGGTCATTTGGCAGAGATCGCTTGTGCGATAAAATGATCCATTTGCTGATACTGTTTAAGTTAAGTGTATCTTATGTAATTTTGTATTTTTGTCTGTGGCAATAAATGATAAATAAATAATTAGGTTATAAAAATAAAATAAATGTATATTAATTTGTAAATAATTTAGTTGATGTTAGTGAGTCAAATTAATCTTCATTTACAGTTTGTTGCATTAGGGACAACGATGTACTAGGTAATGAATCTTCTTCTAAACTCTGAGACCTCTCCGTTCTATCTATCCTTGTCAAGCCTAATTGGTTTGATGTGTTCTGTTCTTGGTGTTTAAATGGCATCTAAAAATCCATCGGATGAGCATTTTCTCCAAATGCCAACTGGGCCATTAAATAACTTGATTCTGTGTTGTCACTCGGAGCGTTTAAAGACTTAACTGGAAAATAATATAAAACAGCTACCTGGTGTCATCTTTTTTTATATAGTATTTAATTTTTTCCAGATATCTTTTTAAAAGCAACCTACATTTTGCGTCTCTTTGGTGAATGAAATTTCGCAGTCTTCGCAGATAATATTCTTCCACTGCTGTGCAACAGAAATCTACTAGTGAGACTGATCTAGAGTTGTCGAATCCCTGTAAGCTAAACACCAATCTTCTTTTCTATTCCAGTAATCTGTCAAATACCGTTTCCACGCAGGCACAGAATCGGCAGTTAGAAATGCTGAATGAAATACATCCGTTGCTCGATTTTCTGTGGAAGAAACTAAAATGTTTTGAAACTATTTATACAAATCTTTTCGAAAATGTTGTGAGTCGTGATGCCGTGTTTTTTCTCCCAAACCCACCGCCATACAGACTGAGATACGTGAAACCGACAAAGTAGAGTTTTTGAAGAAGGCCATATAGCTTTTGGTGCACTTTTTTCAGCATCAGAATCATCTGCAATAAATAACTTAGGAAAACCTTGATTACAAAACGCGTTTGGCACCGTGTCTTTCAGAAGATGAAATCCAGCTTGGTAATTGCTTACTGATTAACCGGCAGTTATTATCACTGCCAAAGGCACCGTTCCAATTTGACAAGGTGTCGGAACAACGCAAGATGAAGTGCTGTCTACGAATACAATATCTTTGGAAAAAGAGAAATGTGCTCTTTGTATCAGTTTAGTTACAACTATAAGAGCAAATGGTCTTTCTAAATACTTTACAACTATTCCTTCTGATTGGTATGCTTCTTGCTTTTCAGCAATGTTTATGGTCAGCCACTACCTAGATTACCGGGAGAATTTTTCATACGTACCTGTTTATTAAATTTGCGAATTATTCGTTATTGTTCTCTTATTAATTTTATAACTCACTGACCTTTAAATTCGTGACGGGTTTTTAACTTCCAAAACGCTTGAAGACTGGACAACAAGAGGATTTATTAAGAACAAGACATCGAATATATACCGTACAAACAGGTTTACAAATGGTAAAAAGAAAGAAGTTTCTTGTATTAAGAAACATGGGAAAAATTCAAGAATTATCATTTCACTTCACGACAATTTTTTTTAATCAATGTGAGAAATGACAAAAAAAAATACGTTAAAAATAAAAAGAAAGTGTTGAAAAGTGACTAACACTAGATTAACTTCATTATAAAACTTCTATTATATGATAACTAAGTTCAGGTTTAAAATGTCAACCTCAATTTTGACATATTTTTAATCTTCATTAAAAATCCTTTAAAATGAGTACAAACACGACATATTTATCTTCAATGTTAATGAAGTTATGGTCAACTTCCGGTTAAGAATGTCAACGTCAATTTTGACATATTTGTAATCGTCGTGAAAGATCCTTTAAAATGAGTCCAAACATGATACGTTGAATTTCAATATTATTCGAGATATAAGCAACTTCCGGCTTGAAATGTCAATGTCAGTTTGACATATTCTTAATTTTTATAAAATGTCTTAATATTTGTTACAAAAACAAAAATATACTAAAAAAAAAAAATAAAAAATTAAGGTAATATTTAAAAATTAAATTCATTGTTGCTAACTTCGGGTTTAATGTGTTTTATTCAAACTTTTTTGTTTTTTGAGATAAGTACGTCATCTTTGGACTCATTTTAAAGGTTTTTTAATGAAGATGATAAATATGTCAAAATTGACGTTGACGTTTCAAACCGGAAGTGATTGTATTTCCAATAATATTAATGTTAAATATGTCGTGTTTGGACTCATTTTAAAGGATTTTTTATGTAGTTGATAAATATGTAAAAGTAGACTTTCGAATTTAGTCCCACGTCTCTCAAGATGGCTAAACCCGAATGATTCTAGTTCTAGGTGTTAGTGCAATACAAATATGCAACATAGTGATGATGCAACATAATTGAACAAGATATTTTTTTGATTTCTTTAATGCACAATTTTTCTCTCACACTATAATTTGACTACAGATTTTTATGGTATGTTTCAAAATAATTTCTCCAACTACATTCGACCAGAATTATTTGTCAATATTGTTTTCACTCTAACCAAATTTGCGAATTTGATAATCCTTATACTTTTCGATATTCGTATTCACAAGATTTGCATTCAACCGAATCTCTTTAGTAACGATATCTTCAGTAAAATCGACTCGTCCTTCAACTTGAGCTTTGAAAAAACTGTAAAGGGAGTGACAATGTAAAAGTTTTGTTGACTCGGATAAATTTGAAACGTTGAATTTACCTTTTTGTTATGCCACCATGTTCCAAAAATAGGTCCGTATTTGTATAAAAGTTATTGGCTTTTAAATCTGACCTTTCATCGTTATAAAATACCACACGTCGAATTCCTTTCTTTACCATTTCTTTTACGCAGTGCGTGCTCGGGTATGTGGTTTGGTAAACGGTAGCATTCTTATAATTGATATGAGGATCATTCAAAGCTGATTCAATGGCTAAATTAACTGAAATTTATGACCCTATGTTTATATAAAAACTTGTGTTATTTTGGCAAATACTACGTCTTAGTAAAGCTCCCTGATTTAAACTCTGAACCATTCTGTACATGATCTGCCACGACGAACTATCTCTATATGTGTGATAATGTATGATAATATTTTCAGTTTTCTCCAACTTCCGGTTATACCGTAAATGAACCCGAACTTCATTATTTTGAATGAAATGTACCAATTTTTATTAAATTTTCGAGATACCCCCTAAATTTTAATATAATTTTTGAATGATTAACAATAAAAATAATTTTTCGAAATTACACTCGAGTTCGGCCAAATATTCTCAAGATTTGCACAGAGAGGACCCATAGCTTACATAACCCTTGAAAAGTTATTTCAAAAATTATACAGGATGGTCAGAAATTTGCGCCGAATTTCCCTATCTCGAAAAGTCAAACACTTCATTTTTTAAATGGCAACCTTGAAAAAAATGAAATTTTCTTGATTATTAGTAATGATGCAACGGATAGTGATTTTGCGAAAAGCCGGATACCGAATATTCGGCATCCCTTTCGGCCGGATTATCCGGCATATCTATCCGGCCATGAAATGAAATTAATAAGAAAGTTGATAAGATATGTCAACTTATTTGGATCCAAGATACAAAATGAATTTTTTTGATGCTGATTTAACTAATGAAGTAACTCTAAAAAGAGGATACTTTAATTAATAATTGACGATATTTCCACAAGGAACCTTCAAGAAAATTTGATCAAAACTTCAAATATTGTTTTCTCAAAAACTAAAAGTTATTTTTCAAAACGTGTTGGTTCATTGGAAAGAGGACACTTTTGTTAACATTTTGGGAAATTTTCATAATCATATTCCAAGAAATGGATTTTATACGAATTTTTAAAACTTAATCGGCGTAAGTTGCAAAATTCGAGAAAATTGTCGATCATTTCAAAAATTTATTTCTCAAGAACAGAAAGTGATTTTTCAAAACGGCTTTTTGCATTAAAAAGAGGATACTTTAATTAATAATTGGCGATATTTCCACAAGGATCCTTCAAGAAATTAATTTTATAGCGAATTTTGAAAGTTATCGATCAAAATTGCAACATCGAAAATTTGATCAAAACTTCAAATATTGTTTTCTCAAAAACTAAAAGTTATTTTTCAAAACGTGTTGGTTCATTGCAAAGAGGACACTTTTATTAACGCGTTGGAAAATTTTCATACTCATATTCCAAGAACTGGATTTTATATGAATTTTTATAACTTAATCGGCGAAAATTGCAAAAATCGAAACTAAAAGCAACCACATAGGTTGATTTTCATCATCAAACATTCCACTTAAAATAATGAAGTTGCGGTCCATTTCCGGTATAACCGGAAGTTGGAGAAAACTGAAAATATTTTAGTTGAAACAAACACAAAATAGTGTCAACAGTTTGCCACATACATATAGACTCAGCTCGTCGTGACAGACCCTGTATATGTTATAAATATAATACTACTTACTAGTGGAGTACCGGAAGTTAATGTCGTTGATACTTTCACTATGAAGTTTTGGAAATAAAATTGAATTATATCCCATTGCAATGACTTTTCCATTTGGGTTAACCACACAAGCTCCCACTTTAAAATTTTCCCTACTCCTCATTCCATTTTTCAATGCCATACGCATATATTTATTGTCTAATTCGTTACTGTCAATTTCCATTATTAGCGTACACCATTAATAATAGATCAAATAATGAAAACGAACTTAGAAAATCGCGCTATTTGTATATGTTCTTATCTTAACTTATAACTTATCAAATAATCTTATCATTTATTAATGATTACAAATACATATATTTCTACACATACAGATATAATTGATATTGTTATTTAAGGTAATGCCTAAATGTTTTCTTGATTGATGCGCTTACAGATAAATAATAAGATAAAATAATATTAAGAGATATTAAACAATCTAAAAATATTTTTTATCGTCAACTGCAAATTTTGAAGATATAAAGATTCTGTAAATTAGCATTTATCTACGACTTCTTGGATAAGTCAACATTACCACACTCATTTGAGTTACGTAATGAAGTTCATTAACGCACTGGTTTCATTACGTAACGCATTTTTAGCCCTAATACTATTTATTATAAACATTATGTTTTTACATTTCGAAACACTTATTCCAGATGAGTAAACATGTTATTGAAACTGACATTAATTGTCAACAATCATTTCAAAATATTGTTATAAATGTCAAAATAGACTTTTTTAAAGAAATTGATTTTTAAGTAATTTTTAGCAGTCGTAGATAAAATGATAGTGCTCCACACTGTTATAAAAAATCGTTTTTTGAGGTTTGTTTCCTAATTATTGATTGAATCGAAAAATTTGTTAAACGGAATTTGTTTATAATTGAATTATCTAAATCTTTTATTGAAACAATTTTTTCGTAAAACGTCTTTTATTACAATTTAATTAAAATGATCCGAAATAACTCATTTTAAATGAAGACAAATCTTTTTATAAAATTGTTTTAATCGAAAAATGTTTCGTATAATATCTGTTTAGAATATCATTTAAAATGATTTGTTTTAATAAAATTTTGCGATATCTCCACCAGATGGGGCTCCATACTGATATAAAAGATCGTTTTTTTAAGGATATCTTCTTAATTATTGATGGAATCAAAAAATTTGTTACATGAAATTTGTTTATAATTGATCTATCTAAATCTTTTATTAAAACAATTTTTTTATGAAACATCATTTATTACAATTAAATTTAAATGATCCGAAATAACTCATTTTAAATTAAAACAAATCTTACCATATTATTATTTTAATCAAAAAATGTTTCGTATAATATCTGTTTAGAATATCATTTAAAATGATTTGTTTTAATAAAATTTTGCGATATCTCCACCAGATGGGGCTCCATACTGATATAAAAGATCGTTTTTTTAAGGATATCTTCTTAATTATTGATGGAATCGAAAAATTTGTTTAATAAAATTTGTTTATAATTAATTTATCTAAATCTTTTATTAAAACAATTTTTTCGTAAAACGTCATTTATTACAATTAAATTAAAATGATCCGAAATAACTCATTTTAAATTAAAGCAAATTTTACCATATTTTTGTTTTAATCAAAAAATGTTTCGTATAAAATTGGTTTAAAATATCATTTAAAATGATTTGTTTGAATAAAATTTTGCGATATCTCCACCAGATGGTGCTCCATACTGGTATAAAATATCGTATTTTGAGATTATCTTCCTAATCATTGATGGAATCGAAAAATTTGTTAAATGAAATTTGTTTACTATTGGATTATCAAAATTTTCTATTAAAACATTTTTTTCGAAAAGCGTCATTTATTACAATTAAATTAAAATGATCCGAAATAACTCATTTTAAATTAAAACAAATCTTACCATATTATTGTTTTAATCAAAAAATGTTTCGTATAAAATTTGTTTAAAATGTCATTTAAAATGATTTGTTTTAATAAAATTTTGCGATATCTCCACCAGATGGGGCTCCACACTGGTATAAAGAATCGTTTTTTGAGGTTGTCTTCCTAATTATTAATGGAATCGAAAAATTTGTTTAATAAAATTTGTTTATAATTAGATTGTCTAAATTTTTTATTAAAACAATTTTTTCGAATAACATCATTTTATAATTAAATTAAAGTAATGTTAGAAGTAATAAAATTATTATTAATAAATATTAGTGTTTGATATCACTTTAAAGTAGAGATTTCAAACTTTCATTTAAGATATAAATCATTGCTCCATCTCCATTGGTAGAGATAAGCTGATTTTATGATTTTCCAATTATTTTTGAATTAACCCAAAAATTAGAGTGTTTAATTTTTATCGTTTTCGTTATTACTTTTTCGTCATTTTTATGCATCATTTTAAAGTAGAGATTTCAAACTTTAATTTGAGATACGTATTCTTTTATCTTCATAAACAAAGTCGTGGTTGAAACTTTACTATTAAAATTTATTTTCTTTAAATTACATTTAACAGAACCTTTACAAATTTAACGATTACACCAATTTTTTCGAAATCATTTTCTTGTTGTTTTAATAACTTAGAAAATCGCTGCTACTGCGTACGAAACAATCCTGTAGATTAGGTTTAACCCCACCAAGAAGAGGACGATTAATAAGGAGAAGTTGAATATTTTTAATCTGAAATATCTTTTCCTTGCTTGCTCAATCGTTGACATGGATTCGTGAAGGAGATATTGCCTCACCCCTAACCCGTAAGTTTTATAATATTCCTCCCAATTTAACTTCCTCATATCGAAATTAAACAAATCCCGATCTTCCTTTGATAGATTCTCGAAAAGATTTTGGACATTTTCGTTCGAAAAGTGCCATTTTCTTGTTCCAAAGTATGCTAAGACTTCGCTAAATTTATGGATTTTTTTATAAACTTTTAGCATCCTAAATTAAATAAACAGTTATTATTAATTTCGATTAATAAAGATAAAACTCACGTTGGTTTTTTTCCCAAAACGAATAAAACCATATCGATTATAATCGCCGGGATTATATGGACGAAAAAGGCGTAAATCCAATACAAAGTTTCATTTGGAATCATTTTTAAGTTATAATACCAAACGGCTTTCATTGCGGGAGTCTCAATTCCATTCGATTTTGAAAAATCGCAAAACCTCCCCCAAGTTATTGGTTGTTGAACCGAAGAAACGTAGTTGTAAATTTTGATTTCTTGCTGATCGTTTTCTTGAATCGACTTCTTTTCAAGCGCGGTTTGATAAGCTGTCGATATTATCCCGTTAATGACCATATCTGCTGGGATTATATCGGCCAAAGCATCTCTATTTGCTCTCAACGTCCTCAATAAACCCAACCCGCAACCCAAAAAGTATCCAGTTGGGCCATAAACGTTATCGATCCACCCTTTTAATGGCTCCTTATAAGTCGAAATAACTAAAAAATAATCCAAAATAATCCAATTTAATTCAAATTAATTAATAATTACTTATTGCTGGTCGAAAAACGCAAACTGGTAAATTTTTCGAATGCTTCCTCACGACTTCTTCGGCTATAGCTTTCGTAAATGTGTAGGTGTTGGGCCAAACTCCAACTAAATCGGGGGTAATTTTCTCTAAGACATCGATCGGGAGGCTGTCGCATATTTGGGAGAGTTTTTCCGGAGAAATGGGGACCTCGTAAAATTTTTCTTCGATGGTTTTATTGGGGCAATGGGCAAATGCGGTGCTGACGTGCACCACACTAATCAAATTTTTGCAATCCTTGGCCAAATTCAAAACTTCTTCGGTGCCCTTTACGTTAATATTGGTTGCTATGTGAAGTTTTTCGTCGAAACGAACCGTGGCGGCTCCGTGGATTATTATTGATACCTAAAAAATTAAATAACAATAAATTTGAAGACTCGTAATATTTTTATTTTAAGTTTTGAAACAATTTCGCTATTTTTATTGAAATCTGTATCATTTAAGATACAATTTGTAACAATTTTGGGATTCTAACTTGATTTAAAAAAAAGTTATTAATTTATTTAATCTCAAACAGCTTATTTTAGGTACTTTTTACTTTGACAACATGTAACTACCCCAAATTAATTTCAACAACGACTTTGAAGATTTTATCAGAATCCGCACTCTTTTTACTCCAATTCGTGAAAATTTCATCATTCCAAAACCATTTTGAAAGATGTAATGAATTTTTATATCTTTAAAAGCGTTAAAAATCGTTGTTTTTTGATACTCTTTAATTTGATCACCAGAACATGTTCATTTTGATTTTATTAACAATTTAGTTGTTTCTATTAAAATTTGTATTATTTGAGATACAATTTGTAACAATTTTGAGATTCTAACTCGATTTAAAAAAAAGTTATTAATTGATTTAATCTCAAACAGCTTATTTTAGGTACTTTTCACTTTGACAACATGTAACTACCCCAAATTAATTTCAACAACGATTTTGAAGATTGTATCAAAATCCGCACCCTTTTTACTCCAATTCGTGAAAATTTTATCATTCCAAAACAATAATGAAAGGTGTAATGAGTTATTATATTTTTAAAAGCGTTAAAAATCGTTGTTTTTTGATACTCTTTAATTTGATCGCCCAGAACTTTTTCATTTTAATTTTATTAACAATTTCGTTGTTTCTATTAAAATCTGTATCATTTAAGATACAATTTGTAACAATATTGAGATTCTAACACGATTTTTAAAAAAGTTATTAATTTATTTAATCTCAAGTAGCTTATTTATGTACTTTTCACTTTGACAACATGTAACTACCAGAAATTAATTTCAACAACGATTTTGAAGATTACATCAGAATCCGCACTCTTTTTACTCCAATTCATGAAAATTTCACCATTCCAAAACAATTTTGAAAGATGTAATGAATTTTTACATCTTTAAAAGCGTTAAAAATCGTTGTTTTTTTGATCGCCCAGAAATTTTTCATTTTGATTTTGTTAACAATTTCACTATTTCTATTGGAATTTGTATCATTTAAGATACAATTTGTAACAATTTTGAGATTCCAACTCGATTTTGATAAAAGTTATAAAATCATCAAATTGCAAGTACCTTATTTCAGGTACTTTTCACTTTAATAACTTGTAACTACCAGAAATTAATTTCAACAACGATTTTGAAGATTACATCAGAATCCGCACTCTTTTTACTCCAATTCGTGAAAATTTCATCATTCCAAAACAATTTTGAAAGATGTAATGAATTTTTATATCTTGAAAAACGTTAAAAATCGTTGTTTTTTGATACTCTTTAATTTGATCGCCCTGAATTTTTTCATTTTGATTTTGTTAACAATTTCGCTATTTCTATTCAAATCAGTATCATTTAAAATACAATTTATAACAATTTTGAGATTCTAACTCGATTTAAAAAAAAGTTATTAATTGATTTAATCTCAAACAGCTTATTTTAGGTACTTTTCAGTTTGACAACAAGTAACTACCCCAAATTAATTTCAACAACGATTTTGAAGATTACATCAGAATCCGCACTCTTTTTACTACAATTCGCGAAAATTTCATCATTCCAAAACAATTTTGAAAGATGTAATAAATTTTTATATCTTTAAAAGCGTTAAAAATCGTTGTTTTTTGATACTTTTTAATTTGATCACCCAGAACTTTTTCATTTTGATATTGTTAACAATTTCGCTATTTCTATTAAAATCCGTATTATTTGAGATTCAATTTGTAACAATTATGAGATTTTAACTCGATTTAAAAAAAAGTTATTAATTTATTTAATCTCAAACAGCTTATTTTAGGTACTTTTCACTTTGACAACTTGTAGCTACCACAAATTAATTTCAACAACGATTTTGAAGATTTTATCAGAATCCGCACTCTTTTTACTTCAATTCGTGAAAATTTCATCATTCCAAAACCATTTTGAAAGATGTAATGAATTTTTTTGTATTTAAAAACGTTAAAAATCTTCGTTTTTAGATACTCTTTAATTTGATCACCCAGAACAGCTTCATTATAATTTTGTTGACAATTTCGTCATTTTTATTGAAATCTGTGCCGTTTGAAATACAATTTGTAAAAATTTTGAAATTCCAACTCGATTTTGATAAAAGTTATAAAATCATCAAATCACAAGTACCTTATTTTAGTTACTTTTCACTTTAATAACCTATAACTACCACAAATTAATTTCAACAACGATTTTGAAGATTTTATCAGAATCCGCACTCTTTTTACTCCAATTCGTGAAAATTTCATCATTCCAAAACAATTTTGAAAGATGTAATGAATTTTTATATATTTAAAAGCGTTAAAAATCGTTGTTTTTTGATATTTTTTAATTTGATCGCCCAGAACTTTTTCATTTTAATTTTATTAACAATTTCGCTATTTCCATTAAAATCTGTATTATTTGAGATACAATTTGTAACAATTTTGAGATTTTAACTCGATTTAAAAAAAAGTTATTAATTTATTTAATCTCAAACAGCTTCTTTTAGGTACTTTTCACTTTGACAACATGTAACAAACCCAAATTAATTTTAACAACAATTTTGAAGATTTTATCAAAATTCGCACCCTTTTTACTCCAATTCGTGAAAATTTTATCATTCCAAAACAATTTTGAAAGATGTAATAAATTTTTATATCTTTAAAAGCGTTAAAAATCGTTGTTTTTTGATACTTTTTAATTTGATCACCCAGAACTCTTTCATTTTAATTTTGTTAACAATTTCGCTATTTCTATTAAAATCTGTATTATTTGAGATACAATTTGTAGCAATTTTGAGATTCTAACTCGATTTTTAAAAAAGTTATTAATTTATTTAATCTCAAACAGCTTATGTTAGGTACTTTTCACTTTGGCAACATGTAACAACCCTAAATTAATTTTAACAACGATTTTGAAGATTATATCAGAATCCGCACTCTTTTTACTCCAATTCGTGAAAATTTCATCATTCCAAAACAATTTTGAAAGATGTAATGAATTTTTATATCTTTAAAAGCGTTAAAAATCGTTGTTTTATGATACTTTTTAATTTGATCCTCCAGAACTTTTTCATTTTGATATTATTAACAATTTCGCTATTTCTATTGAAATCTGTATCATTTAAGATACAATTTGTAACAATTTTGAAATTCTAACACCATTTTGAAAAAAGTTATTAATTTATTTAATCTCAACCACCTTATTTTAGGTTCTTTTCACTTTGACAACATGTAACTACCCCAAATTAATTTCAACAACGATTTTAAAGATTTTATCAGAATCCGCACTCTTTTTACTTCAATTAGTGAAAATTTCATCATTCCAAAACCATTTTGAAAGATGTAATGAATTTTTATATATATAAAAGCGTTATAAATCGTTGTTTTTTGATACTCTTTAATTTGATAGCCTAGAACTGTTTCATTTTGATTTTGTTAACAATTTCGCTATTTCTATTAAAAACTGTATTATTTGAGATACAATTTGTAACAATTTTGAGATTCTAACTCGATTTAAAAAAAAGTTATTAATTTATTTAATCTCAAACAGCTTATTTTAGGTACTTTTCACTTTGACAACTTGTAACTACCACAAATTAATCCCAACAACGATTTCGAAGATTTTATCAGAATCCGCACTCTTTTTACTCCAATTGGTGAATATTTCATCATTCCAAAACAATTTTGAAAGATGTAATGAATTTTTATGACTTTAAAAGCGTTAAAAATCTTAGGTTTTTAGATACTCTTTAATTTGATCGCCCAGAACTTTTTCATTTTAATTTTGTTAACAATTTCGCTATTTCTATTGAAATCTGTATCATTTAAGATACAATTTGTAAAAATTTTGAGATTCCAACTCGATTTTGATAATAGTTATAAAATCATCAAATCACAAGTACCTTATTTTAGGTACTTTTCACTTTAATAACCTATAACTACCACAAATTAACTTCAACATCGATTTTGAACATTTTATCAAAATCCACACTCTTTTTACTCCAATTCGTGAAAATTTCATCATTCCAAAACAATTTTGAAAGATGTAATGAATTTTTATATCTTTAAAAGCGTTAAAAATTGTTGTTTTCGATACTCTTTATTTGATTGCCCTGAATTTTTTCATTTTGATTTTGTTAACAATTTCGCTATTTCTATTCAAATCAGTATCATTTAAAATACAATTTGTAACAATTTTGAGATTCTAACTCGATTTTAAAGAAAGTTATTAATTGATTTAATCTCAAACAGCTTATTTTAGGTACTTTTCAGTTTGACAACAAGTAACTACCCCAAATTAATTTCAACAACGATTTTGAAGATTTTATCAGAAACTGCACTCTTTTTACTCCAATTCGTGAAAATTTCATCATTCCAAAACAATTTTGAAAGATGTAATGAATTTTTATATCTTTAAAAACGTTAAAAATCGTTGTTTTTTTATACTCTTTAATTTGATCGCCCAGAACTTTTTTATTTTGATTTTGTTAACAATTTCGCTATTTCTATTAGAATCTGTATCATTTAAGATACAATTTGTAACAATTTTGAGATTCTAACTCGATTTAAAAAAAAGTTATTAATTTATTTAATCTCAAACAGCGTATTTTAGGTACTTTTCACTTTGACAACATGTAACTACCCCAAATTAATTTCAACAACGATTTCGAAGATTTTATCAGAATCTGCACTCTTTTTACTCCAATTCGTGAAAATTTCATCATTCCAAAACAATTTTGAAAGATGTAATGAATTTTTATATCTTTAAAAACATTAAAAATCGTTGTTTTTTGATAGTCTTTAATTTAATCGCCCTGAACTTTTTCATTTTGATTTTGTTAACAATTTCGCTATTCCTATTGAAATCTGTATCATTTAAGATACAATTTGTAACAATATTGAAATTCTAACACGATTTTTAAAAAAGTTATTAATTTATTTAATCTCAAGTAGCTTATTTAGGTACTTTTCACTTTGACAACATGTAACTACCACAAATTAATTTCAACAACGATTTTGAAGACTACATCAGAATCCGCACTCTTTTTACTCCAATTCATGAAAATTTCACCATTCCAAAACAATTTTGAAAGATGTAATGAATTTTTACATCTTTAAAAGCGTTAAAAATCGTTGTTTTTTTGATCGCCCAGAAATTTTTCATTTTGATTTTGTTAACAATTTCACTATTTCTATTGGAATTTGTATCATTTAAGATACAATTTGTAACAATTTTGAGATTCCAACTCGATTTTGATAAAAGTTATAAAATCATCAAATTGCAAGTACCTTATTTCAGGTACTTTTCACTTTAATAACTTGTAACTACCAGAAATTAATTTCAACAACGATTTTGAAGATTTTATCAGAATCTGCACTCTTTTTACTCCAATTCGTGAAAATTTCATCATTCCAAAACAATTTTGAAAGATGTAATGAATTTTTATATCTTTAAAAGCGTTAAAAATCGTTGTTTTTTGATACTCTTTAATTTGATCGCCCAGAACTTTTTCATTTTAATTTTGTTAACAATTTCGCTATTTCTATTAAAATCTGTATCATTTAAGATACAATTTGTAACAATTTTGAGATTCTAACACGATTTTTAAAAAAGTTATTAATTTATTTGACAACATGTAACTACTCCAAATTAATTTCAACAACGATTTTGAAGGTTCTATCAGAATCCGCACTCTTTTTACTCCAATTCGTGAAAATTTCATCATTCCAAAAACAATTTGGAAAAATGTAATGAATTTTTTTGATTTTAAAAACGTGAAAAATCTTCGTTTTTAGATACTCTTTAATTTGATCACCCAGAACAGCTTTATTATAATTTTGTTAACAATTTCGTCATTTTTATTAAAATCTGTGCCGTTTGAAATACAATTTGTAAAAATTTTGAAATTCCAACTCGATTTTGATAAAAGTTATTCATCAAATTACAAGTACCTTATTTTAGTTACTTTTCATTTTAATAACCTATAACTACCCCAAATTAATTTCAACAACGATTTTGAAGATTATATCAGAATCCGCACTCTTTTTACTCCAATTCGTGAAAATTTCATCATTCCAAAACCATTTTGAAAGATGTAATGAATTTTTATATCTTTAAAAGCGTTAAAAATCGTTGTTTCTTGATACTCTTTAATTTGATCGCCCAGAACTTTTTCATTTCGATTTCGTTAACAATTTCGCTATTTTTATTAAAATCTGTATCATTTAAGATACAATTTGTAACAATTTTGAGATTCTAACTCAATTTTGAAAAAAGTTATTAATTTATTTAATCTCAAACAGCTTATTTTAGGTACTTTTCAGTTTGACAACAAGTAACTACCCCAAATTAATTTCAACAACGATTTTGAAGATTTTATCAGAAACTGCACTCTTTTTACTCCAATTCGTGAAAATTTCATCATTCCAAAACAATTTTGAATGATGTAATGATTTTTTATATCTTTAAAAACATTAAAAATCGTTGATTTTTGACACTCTTTAATTTGATCGCCCAGAACTTTTTCATTTTGATTTTGTTAACAATTTCGCTATTTCTATTCAAATCAGTATTATTTGAGATACAATTTGTAACAATTTTGAGATTCTAACACGATTTTTAAAAAAGTTATTAATTTATTTAATCTCAAACAGCTTATTTTATTTACTTTTCATTTTGACAACATGTAATTACCCCAAATTAATTTCAACCACGATTTTGAAATATTTATCAGAATCCGCACTTTTTTTATTCCAATTCGTGAAAATTTCATCATTCCAAAATCATTTTGAAAGATGTAATGAATTTTTATATCTTTAAAATCGTTAAAAATCGTTGTTTTTTGATACTCTTTAATTTGATAGCCCAGAACTTTTTCATTTTAATTTTATTAACAATTTCGCTGTTTCTATTAAAACCTGTATTATCTGAGATACAATTTGTAACAATTTTGAAATTCCAACTCGATTTTGATAAAAGTTATAAAATCATCAAATTGCAAGTACCTTATTTTAGGTACTTTTCATTTTAATAACTTGTAACTACCACAAATTAATTTCAACAACGATTTTGAAGATTTCATCAGAATCCGCACTCTTTTTACTCCAATTCGTGAAAATTTCATCATTCCAAAACAATTTTGGCTTTACAAATTTAGCTTTACAATCGTTTTCAGATACTTTTTAATGTCACACTTCTCTTGGGGCATATTTTCCTTTGAAATTCATTAGAAAGTCGTTTGAACTCGATGAATAATCTCAAAACGATCAACGGTACTTGTTATTCGGTCATCGCGGGTCTTAAGATGTCAGAGAAAGTTCCGTTATTTTACCACTTTTTGAAAAACTTTATTGCACGTATCTTATTATACTTTCACCATTCTCACTCTTCAAAGAGCAAACTTAAATTACCTTTTCCGTGATGACTTTACGATCCTCTATTCTTAATCCTAACCCAGGAAGTCCCGCATCTCCCGAAACCGGGATTATTTTGTATCGAAATTTCGGTTGCTTGTTCGAAAGGCGTTGGAAAACCTATAATGAAAGAATCAAGGTTAAACAGTTAAACTTTTTTCAATAAAGAAAGTATTTTGACACTATCCATCAACCGTTTTGGCTAAACAAATAACATTAACCTTGGATGAGCGTTGAATATTAAAGATAACCGTTTCAAAAGAACGAAAAAACGAGTCTTATACAATGTAAATGTATGGGGCATTAACGATTCCTTTTAAAACGTTAAAGTGTAATTATTTTTACCTCAGCCAAACTAGATACGCTCGTTTTATGAATACAAAAACTATTGTATTTAAAACATTTTGTTTGTACCTCTTTTTTGTGTGTTGTTTTTAACGTTGTTTATTCAGGGTAATATTCCAAAGCGATTTGAATAATTGACCCTTTTGAAATCTGGTTCATTATTTTTCTTGAATGTAATTAACACGGAATGGAACCGATTTAGTAATTCAACCTTGTTTTCATTTTAAATAAAATGTAGGAAATATAATTACCTCCCCGTTAAAAACGTCTTCGATTCTCGAATGGATATCTTTTCCTTTCTTCGTCCTGACGAGCATAAAAATTCCAGAAATATCCGGGCACATCCTCAACAATTTCTCGATGGTTAATTTCCCCAAAAATCCCGTTCCTCCAGTAATAAAGACGTATTTTCCGGTGAAAAACTCGCAAATTTCACTGTTTTCGCTCTCGTAGCAGTTCTCATCCTCCTCGAAACATTTAATATTTGCTTTGTAATCCACTTCAATCGACGTCATTGTGAAATAAATTTTTTTATTTGAATTTTCTGGACCTAAAACGCACTATTAAACACAAAACTAAAATTATAAACCAACTAAACGAAACTCTTACTGAGCCACAACTCATATATGTTGCACGTTGGTTAAATAGAAAGTGGGGGAAATATCCACGTGTCTTTTAAAAAAATATTGCTACTCATCGCAAGGTAAAACGATGTATTATTTTGAGACTATAAGAAATTTGCAAAAAATTGATTTGTTACAGATGTAAGGAGAAATTTTAAAAATTGTATCTCAAAAACGAATTGAGATATCGATTTGAAATAAAAAGCAATTTAAAGCAAATTAATAATTTATTTCCCATAAATATGGTTGTTAGATATGATTCTTTAAATCCAACTCTGTATCAAAATCGTATCTCAAGAATGAATTGAGATATCGATAGGAAATAAAAAACAATTTAAAGCAAATTTAATAAACATTTAACGTTCCAAAAATAATTTCTTATTTCCCATAAATATGGTTATTATGATTCTTTAAATCCAACTCTGCTTGTTTGATTCTTATAGATAATTTATAAATTTAAAAAAATCGTATCTCAAGAACGAATTGAGACATCGATATGAAATAAAAAGCAATTTAAAGCAAATTTAATAAAGATTTAATATGCCAGAAATAATTTCTTATTTCCCATAAATATGGTTATTATGATTTTTTAAATCCAACTCTGCTTGTTTGATTGTTATCGATAAAACATAAATTTAATAAAATCGTATCTCAAGAATGAATTCAGATATCGACATGAAATAAAAAGCAATTTAAAGCAAATTTAATGTGCAAAAAATAATTTCTTATTTCCCATAAATATGGTTGTTATGATTTTTTAAATCCAACTCTGTTTGTTTCAAAAAATCGTATCTCAAGAACAAATTGAGATATCGATATGAAATAAAAAGCAATTTAAAGCAAATTTAATAAAGATATAATGTGCCAAAATTAATTTCTTATTTCCTATAAATTTAGTTGTTATGATTTTTTAAATCCAACTCTGCTTGTTAGATTGTTATCGATAAAATATAAATTTTAAAAAATCGTATCTCAAGAACGAATTGAGATATCAATATGAAATAAAAAGCAATTTAAAGCAAATTTAATAAAGATTTAATATGCCAGAAATAATTTCTTATTTCCCATAAATATGGTTATTATGATTTTTTAAATCCAACTCTGCTTGTTTGATTGTAATCGATGAAACATACATTTAAAAAAATCGTATCTCAAAAACGAGTTGAGATATCGATATGAAATAAAAAGCAATATAAAGCAAATTTAATAAAGATATAATGGGCCAAAAATAATTTCTTATTTCCCATTAATATGGTTATTATGATTCTTTAAATGCAACTTTGCTTGTTTGATTGTTGTGGATGAAAAATATATTTAAAAAAATCGTATCTCAAGAACGAATTCAGATATCGATATGAAATAAAAAGCATTTTAAAGCAAATTTAATAAGGATTTAATGTGGCAAATATAATTTCTTATTTCACATAAATATGGTTGTTACGATTTTTTAAATCCAACTCTGTTTGTTTGATTGTTATCGATAAAACATAAATTTAAAAAAATCGTACCTCAAGAACGAATTGAGATATCGATATGAAATAAAAAGCAATTTAAAGCAAATTTAATAAAGATTTAATATGCCAGAAATAATTTCTTATTTCCCATAAATATGGTTATTATGATTTTTTAAATCCAACTCTGCTTGTTTGATTGTTATCGATAAAACATAAATTTAATAAAATCGTATCTCAAGAATGAATTCAGATATCGACATGAAATAAAAAGCAATTTAAAGCAAATTTAATGTGCAAAAAATAATTTCTTATTTCCCATAAATATGGTTGTTATGATTTTTTAAATCCAACTCTGTTTGTTTCAAAAAATCGTATCTCAAGAACAAATTGAGATATCGATATGAAATAAAAAGCAATTTAAAGCAAATTTAATAAAGATATAATGTGCCAAAATTAATTTCTTATTTCCTATAAATTTAGTTGTTATGATTTTTTAAATCCAACTCTGCTTGTTAGATTGTTATCGATAAAATATAAATTTTAAAAAATCGTATCTCAAGAACGAATTGAGATATCGACATGAAATAAAAAGCAATTTAAAGCAAATTTAATGTGCAAAAAATAATTTCTTATTTCCCATAAATATGGTTGTTATGATTTTTTAAATCCAACTCTGTTTGTTTCAAAAAATCGTATCTCAAGAACAAATTGAGATATCGATATGAAATAAAAAGCAATTTAAAGCAAATTTAATAAAGATATAATGTGCCAAAATTAATTTCTTATTTCCTATAAATTTAGTTGTTATGATTTTTTAAATCCAACTCTGCTTGTTAGATTGTTATCGATAAAATATAAATTTTAAAAAATCGTATCTCAAGAACGAATTGAGATATCGATATGAAATAAAAAGCAATTTAAAGCAAATTTAATAAAGATTTAATGTGCCAAAAATTATTTCTTATCTCCTATAAATATGGTTGTTATGGATTTTTTAAATCCAACTCTACAAGTTTGATTGTTATCGATGAAATATAAATTTTAAAAAATCGTATCTCAAGAACGAATTGAGATATCGATATGAAATAAAAAGCAATTTAAAGCAAATTTAACAAAGATTTAATGTGCCAAAGATTATTTCTTATTTCCCATAAATATGGTTGTCATGATTTTTTAAATCTAACTCTGCAAGTTTGATTGTTGTCGATGAAATTTAAATTTAAAAAAATCGTATATCAAGAACGAATTGAGATATCGATATGAAATAAAAAGCAATTTAAAACAAATTTAATGAAGATTCAATGTGCCAAAGATAATTTCTTATTTCCCATAAATATCGTTGTTATGATTTTTCAAATCCAACTCTGCTTGTTTGATTGTTATCGATGAAATATAAATTTTTAAAAATCGTATCTCAAGAACGAATTGAGATATCGATTGGAAATAAAAAGCAATTTAAATCAAATTTAATATACCAAAAATAACTTATTTCCCATAAATATCGTTGATATGATTTTTCAAATCCAAGTCTGCTTGTTTGATTGTTATCGATGAAATATAAATTTTAAAAAAACGTATCTCAAGAACGAATTGAGATATCGATATGAAATAAAAAGCAATTTAAAGCAAATTTAATAAGGATTTAATGTGGCAAATATAATTTCTTATTTCACATAAATATGGTTGTTATGATTCTTTAAATCCAACTCTGTTTATTTGATTATTATCGATGAAATATAAATTTAAAAAAATCGTATCTCAAGAACGAATTGAGATATCGATTGGAAATAAAAAGCAATTTAAATCAAATTTAATATACCAAAAATAACTTATTTCCCATAAATATCGTTGATATGATTTTTTAAATCCAACTCTGCCTATTTAATAGTTATTCATAAAACATAAATTTAAAAAAATCGTATCTCTTGAACGAATTAAGGTATCGATATGAAATAAACAGCAATTTAAAGCAAATTTAATGAGGATTTAATGTGCCAAAAATTATTTCTTATTTCCTATAAATATGGTTGTTATGATTTTTCAAATCCAAGTCTGCTTGTTTGATTGTTATCGATGAAATATAAATTTTAAAAAAACGTATCTCAAGAACGAATTGAGATATCGATATGAAACAAAAAGCAGATTAAAGCAAATTTAATAAAGATTTGATGTGACAGCCAAAAATTATTTATTATCTCCCATAAATATGGTTGTTATGATTTTTTAAATCCAACTCTACAAGTTTGATTGTTATCGATAAAACATAAATTTTAAAAAAATCATATCTCAAGAGCGAATTGAGATATCGATATGAAATGAAGAGCAGTTTAAAGCAAATTTAATAAAGATTTAATGTGCCAAAAATTATTTCTTATCTCCTATAAATATGGTTGTTATGATTTTTTTAAATCCAACTCTACAAGTTTGATTGTTATCGATGAAATATAAATTTTAAAAAATCGTATCTCAAGAACGAATTGAGATATCGATATGAAATAAAGAGCAGTTTAAAGCATATTTAATGAAGATTTAATGTGCCAAAAATAATTTCTTATTTCTTATAAATATCGTTGTTATGATTTTTTAAATCCAACTATGCAAGTTAATTGTTATCGATGAAATGTAAATTTAAAAAAATCGTATCTCAAGAACGAATTGAGATATCGATATGAAATAAAAAGCAATTTAAAGCAAATTTAATAAAGATTTGATGTGCCAAAAATTATTTCTTATCTTCCATAAATATGGTTGTTATGATTTTTTAAATCCAACTCTACAAGTTTGATTGTTATCGATGAAATATAAATTTTAAAAAATCGTATCTCAAGAACGAATTGAGATATCGATATGAAATAAAAAGCAATTTAAAGCAAATTTAACAAAGATTTAATGTGCCAAAGATTATTTCTTATCTCCCACAAATATGGTTGTTATTAATTTTTAATCCAACTCTGCTTGTTTGACTGTTATCGATGAAATATAAATTTTAAAAAAATTGTATCTCAAGAACGGATTGAGATATCGATATGAAATAAAAAGCAGTTTAAAGTAAATTTAATGAAGATTTAATGTGCCAAAAATAATTTCTTATTTTCTATGTATATGGTTGTTATGAATTTTTAAATCCAACTCTGTAAGTTTGATTGTTATCGATGAAACATAAATTTTAAAAAATGGTATCTCAAGAACAAATTGAGATATGGATATGAAATAAAAAGCAATATAAAGCAAATTTAATAAAGATTTAATGTGCCAAAAATAATTTCTTATTTCCTATAAATATCGTTGTTATAATTTTTTAAATCCAACCTTGGTTGTCGAATTGTTATCAATAAAATGTAAATTTAAAAAAATCGTATCTCAAGAACGAATTGAGATATCGATATGAAATAAAAAGCAATTTAAAGCAAATTTAATAAAGATTTAATGTGCCAAAAATTAATTCTTATTTCCCATAAATATGATTGTTATGATTTTTTAAATCCAACTCTACAAGTTTGATTGTTATCGATGAAACATAAATTTTAAAA